AATCACCAGAAATCTATTACAAGTCTTCCCAACAAGAGTGATTTGAAAATGTAATGACAAACAACCTTTCCATGGAAAACTATAAAGATTTCATGAAATAAACTGTACTGTGATAAGCTCCAAAAAAAAACTGCCTAAAACAATGTATTCATAAATCTGAAATATACACATGATTTATTCTTATTAAATTTTAGAGGTCATTAGAATATCTGCATTAACTTTTAACGAAGTTTATCCATCTGAATTCCTTCTTTGGGGAGAAGAGGAGTATCCCTGAACAAATACAAGATCTATAAAAATAACTTCAAAATCATAAAAATGCAATATCAAAATTCATAAAGGTCTCAAAACTTTCTAATCTATGTCTAAATAGTCTTCCAACTAACAGTCAATGTAATTATTTATAAAGCTTCCCAAATATGTTTCCAAATTTGAGCCAAGATGAAAAGTTGGTATTACTCGACCCAGGAAGAGAAAATGTTTTGTATAACAAGTTAATTCAGCTAAGCAAAACACATGTGTGAATTCTATAGCACTGTAACTAAGAAATAAAATTTCAGGGGCCATTCCAAATGCAGGAGAGCGCTAGTTTTGCTTGCAGAGAGAATGAGGCAATCAGAAGTCCATGCTGTCTAAATAAAGGATCCTATTTTACTTTTCCCCTGCCCCCACCAAAAAAGCCAACAAAAACAACAAAAAAACCCTACAGTAATCTTTAAATGACAGTATCCGTTTTTTCCACAGAAGAGTCACTCACAATAGGGATAATATATATAAGAATTAGCAAAATCAAGTAGTAAATAGTTGTTCCATTATTATGCCTCTTCTGCATACTAGTGCGTATGTTTACAGAGGGAGATGCTGGTGAAATCCTGCCTAATGAAAAATGGAAAACGGGCTTCACTAGAAGATAAACTGAAAAGATTGCTTAATACCCTACAAAGGCTATATGCATTTAAAATAGGTCTAAAGAGAGGGCAAAACTTTTTTCTTAATCTCAGAACGTTAAGATAAAGGCTATAACATCTTGCATCTATTTTTATACTTAACCAGTTAACCACATTTGTGACAAAGGCCTTATAAAAACTTGTAACAACTTTTTTTTTTAATATTCTTCCATTTGGTTGGTTATCATTTAAAATTTTGGAGATCCTTTAAGGAAATTAACATCTGATTAACATCTCAAAAGACAGGCATTTAAAAGGTTCAAAAAATACCCACAAATTGTATTTTAAAAAAAAAAAAAGAGATAGGTCTAAAATTTCACCTAACAAAGTAATTTTCACATAACTAGACTAGCACTTCAAACTCAGACTGAAAATTTTATGCCAGCACTTTGCAAATGTGTTGATAAAGACTCTCTCTATATTATAGAGCATTCAACAAAATCCTAGAATCCTAGAGTGCCTTTCCTCCAAAGGGCTCAAGGTGCTTTCACATTTCTCTCTCATTTGTTCAAGCCCACTTTAATTCAGTTTTTTAAGTTATAATTAAAATACCATATTCTTGATGTATAATGTATATCATATTTATGGCAATAAAAATTCTTTCTCAGCTCTAGTTAGTAAGCAATCTTTTTTTATATGCTAGAGCTGATAATTCAATAGTATTCAATTAATACTTTCACCTAAATTAAATTTTTCTTTGATGAGAAATCAGAGTGAGTCTACATATTTTATATTAGTCCCTAAGCCCAACTGACAATCACATCTATTAGAGAATAATTGTGAGGATATCTGAAACAATACTTCTGTATAAGAAAAGCCCTAGTGCTCTGGAGAATGATACCATGTTTGTTAATTTCTCTGATTTTAATAAACCCTTTATTATTGTCAGGATGGCCTTTATCTGGAGAATTAATGATTGGTATCATCTCTCACATATATAGAACTCTTTATATAATTACTTACAATTAAATATATTATAAATTATTAAACATATTATTTTACTAAGTAGTTACAACAACCCCATGAGGTAGACAGGGTACTACATTAATCCAATATATCACTGGAGAAGAAACTGGGCAGTTAAGTGCATTGCCTGAAATCACCTGGCTTTTGAGGGGCAGCCCTGGGTCTAAAAGAACCCAAAGTACTAGATGAGTCTGGGTTCCTATTATGGACTGAATGTTTGAGTCCCCAAAAATGTGTATGTTGAAACCCTAACCCTAACGTGACTATATGGTAATGGGGCCTCTACGGAAGTAATTAAGGTGAAATGAGGTCAGAAGGGTGGGGCCCTTACAAGAAGACATATCAGAAAGCTCGCTATCCTCTCCCTCCTGGTACTCAGATAAAAGGCCAAGTGAGGACACAGGAAGAAGGCAGCCATCTGCAAGCCTCGAAAAGAGCTCCCACCAAAAACCAAACACTGCCAGACCTTGATCTTGGGTTTTTCAGCCTCCAGAACTGTGAGAAAATAATGTTCTACTGTTTAAGCCACCTATCTATGATATCCTTTATGGCAGCCTGAGGAGACTAGCATAGGCTTTTCACTACATATTAATGTCTACAAAAAGTGGTACATATTTTTTTCCAACTAATGTCATAAAAGCTCTAAAAACTGCTATAAAAACTTGAACTCGGATACAGTTCATAATTTCCAGTCATATGGTTAAAACTCACCTTTATTTTATATATTAAAAATAGATTAACTATCAAGTGAGAGCTACACATTCAAGAAGAAATGAAGAAAACCAAATGATTTTAGCACCTTAGAAATAAATTTAAGGAAACAATAACCATATCCATTATAATAATTATTAGTCTCTACTACAGAACACCAGTAAATTTTTTCATATTTGAAAGCGACCTATATACATAGGCATTTTTCTAACTAAGGAACAGGATAAATTACCAAGAATCTCAAAAAAAAAAAAAAAGAAAGAAAGAAAGAAGAAGAAGAAAAACAATTTAGCTTCAGGCTTTTTCTGCTCTCAACAAGAGCAGAAAAACTAAGAGTAGAGAAATCCAGCTATTGCCTAGCCAGAAGATACAAACTGCTTTGAATAACTGCAGTGTAAAGCTTGAGTGAATTTATAAGTTTGGTTAACTGCAAAGGTTTTTGTGGCTTAGGGTATTTCATCTGGTTTTATTTCTGATCAACACCACATGGGAAACCAGAGTTTGGTTAATACACTTAAGAGATCTAAATCTGGAATTGCAATCATCCTTAGAGTCTGATAGTTTTAGCTTACTGGTCTCCTCCATACCTACATAAAATATTGGCCATCAGAGGAAGGCAACAATAGAGATCCTATCACACTATCAATGAAAGAAAAGGGGAAGAGTAATTGTCAACTTAGAACCAGGTACTGGGAGTTCAGGAGAACTGAAAATCTAAAAGTAGATCTCCTTGCTTGAACTAACCCTGCAAGACGTCCTATCTTTATCTGAAGGTAGCATTCTCTTTGGAAGGAAATTAACGTACCCTCCATTATAATCTATCAAAACTATAAAAATCACTAAAAATTGTCCCAAGCAGTCATGTCAAGTGCAGTGGGTCATTACTGCTCCACAATGACGCCTATCAAAACTGGCCAGAGGCTGGTTTGAGGCTGAAAATACTCTGGACAGTACAGTACAAAAATCCTGTTATGAAGCCATACAGAGAGCAGGACCTAGGCACACAGATGTTTACAAAAAAGAATTCACATCACACTACACTATGAATGGATTTATTAATTTATACATTACAACAAAGCCTGAACTTATCTAAAGATTCAGATTTAAAAACTTCAAGCAGTGATACCCAATGAGTTTGAATGAAAGAAATTGTGCTGTGATTTCCAAAATTCAAATGGAAACATAGATCAACTATTAATCCACCAAATATTTACTGGCCTCCTGTTGCAAATAAGTACATATAAGGCACAACTTAGTGCTGTCTAGATAAAAGGATGAAAAGGTGAAAGTGAAAAAGGATTAAAGGAGTTAATAACTGTAAAGTACCTGACACATAAGTGTTCATTATTATTATCCTACTCTCAAAGAACTTACTATACAGTAGAAAAGCTAAGATCACTAAGTATATAAATAACTACAAAAGAAAAAGAACCACAAAGTATAAAAACACTATACAAGTTCAAAGTGATGAGAGATTTCTAACTAGGGGACTCAAACAATTCCAAGACAATGAGATTGGGTACTACAGAGAATGCAAGCAATATCAGCACAGAGGAAACATGCAAGAGAAACAGGTTTAGGTGGAGAAAAAACAGACTTCAGTAGTATAAAATGAATCTTTAAAAAGCAATACAGAGTTATAAAAAGACAGAAAGAAGGTGCTTACTTGATAAAGTTGAATCAAGGGAGGATTTTTTTTTTAATGAAACATATGTGGTGTCTAGCCCAGTGCATGACACACACACATACTTTCAATAAACAGCAGTTGGACTGGAATAAAAACGTAGGCAGATATATTACAAATAGAAGAGATCCAAGTATGCTTGAGAAGCAAAGGAAAGGATCCAGCATGAGGGAGACAAAAGATGCTGTAACAACTACAGAAGGTTAGGAGCTGGTAAAAAAAAAAAAGATGCAATCAATGACACAAGCAGTGTAAACTTTAAAGTAGAAAACGAGTAACTCCTTATCTTATTAGAAGTAAAGAAAGCTCAACACTGAGTAATTGTGAGATGAACAGAATGGGTGGTAAGGAAACTCACTCTGGATGGCCCCAACATTTTCAGCATGAAAACCATGAAGCAGAGGATCTTGTGTATAGCAGAGGGAGCACATGTGGGAATCAAAGGTGGAGGTGAATGAAAATGACTTAGCTGATTGCCTGACATCTTTCTCTCAGAGATGAAATCAGAGATGGAAAAAAAGCAACATGGTAAGAAAAATAATTATACAAAATCCTTATTTTTGGAAAGTGGTAAACTCCACTCACTAATGACAACAAAAATATACATGTTTTTCTTAAGAGCTTTTAGTTCTGTTCCACTAAAGCATATTAAATAAACTACAGTCAAACTTTTTTTTTTTTTAAACTAAAAGGTTTTACAAGAAACAAGTGTTGACGAGGATGTGGAGAAAAAGGAACCCTATGGCACAGTTGGTGGGAATGCAAACTGGTGCAGCCACTGAGGTAAACAGTATAGAGATTCCTCAAAAAATTAAAAATAGAACTATCCTACAATCCAGTAATCACACTACTGGGTATTTACCCAAAGGATATGAAAACACTAATTCGAAAGGATATATCCATCACTGTTTACTGCAGCATTATTTACAACAGCCAAATTATGGAAGCAGCCATGTCCATCAACAGATGAATGGATAAAGAAGATGTGATACACACACACACTGAAATATTATTCAGCCATACAAAAGAATGAAATCCTGCTATTTGCAACAATATAGATAGAGCTAGAGAGTATAATGCTAAGTGAAATAAGTCAGAGAAAGATAAATACCATACGACTTCACTCATGTGTGGAATTTAACAAACAAATGAACAAAGAAAAAAAAATAGAGACAAACTAAAAAACAGACTCTCAACTATAGAGAATAAGCAGATGGTTACCAGAGAGGATTGGATTGGGGGGAACGGGTGAAATAGGTGATGGGGATTAAGAGTACACTTTTCTTGATAAGCAGGGAGTAATATACAGAAGTGTTGAATCACTATACTGTACACCTGAAACTAATATAACACTGTACGTTAACTATACAGGAGTTAAACTTTTTTTTAATTAAGTAAATAAAAAATAAAAGCTATTGGTTTTACCAATACAATGGAAGACCAGCACATAATGAAGATGTTAATCAAATGTCAATTAACCAAAAAAATTTATATTATTATCTGTTTTAGCTGTTGGGCTCTTTTGATTTCTCTTTTTTCAAGCTACAATACTGATTTTTTTTTAACTCATGAAACTCACATTAAAAAATTTTTAGAAGTGTTGTTCTTGTTCAAGTAATAGACATCTTCTGTTTTGCTCTGCCTGTTAATAAAGTGAATGCAACTATTTTCAACAAGTTTATCCCACCTGGTGCTATTAACTGGTGAATACTTGATGTCCGGGTGACAGCTGTGCTTCGTGATTCCAGACTTGGACTTTCTCCCTTCTTATTACTTTCTGGAGAAGGATCTCGTTGGCTGATTTTAGAACTGGTCACTGTTGTTTTGTTATGACAAATTGTCAATGACTGAGTTTGACTAGTGCTTTTTGGCGGACCATTCTGTGAGCTAGATAATACACCCAACTTCTGGCTGCGTAATGTTAAATTCTGAACCTAAGAACCACACAACAAAAAATAAGGATGAAACAGATGGTATTAACTGAGATGTGATAATCATTACCATTATAACAACAATGACAATACATTTATATTGTTTTTTTACACATCAAGTTCCAAGCACTTGAAACGACTGATTCATTCCAAAAGAAAGGGGAGTTATTATTCTAAGTAATCATATTAAGTAAAAATTTTTTAAAAAGACATTAAGGGAATCATTAAGAACAAAATGAAAACAGTATATATACATATTAAATGAACTATGAATATGAGGAAATCACTCTGCAACATACTGCATTTTGAAGTTACCAGCTCAGAGACAGCCAAAGGGAAGGAGAGAAAAGGGTACTCCAGATAAAAAGGAAAACCTGAGCAAAGCCTCAGAGGCAGAAGAGCCCAGGATGCATTAGGGAAGGAGCAATTCCTTCAACTCTGCTCTGACTTCTCCAGGCCAGGACTGTGAAACATTGAAGGTTGCTAGTCCTTTATACTCTTGTGAGAAGTTACTACATACAGTTAGGAGTATGCATATACAATACTGTCATCCTCATAAAGATCAGAAAGAGAACTGCAAAAAAAAAAAAAAGCTACCCATTCTACAGAGATTATAAGGGAATACTCATCTTGTAAATTAGAAAACTCATTCATCAAATCACCTACCCATTATGATAATTATGAAAAGCATTTCCTATCAACTCCTTTTTAAAATCCTGTTGTTATGGAATACTCACTTGGCTTTGAGAACTAGATCTGATGAACTGAAAAGACTGTGCATGGCCTTGAAATGGCTTACGTCATGGCTCCTGTCTACACCTGGGGCTATTCTAAACATACCACCAGTCCGGTGGTGGCAAGATCATCCCAATGACTTTCACCTGAGGTTTATAACATTCCCAAACGGCAAGGCAGAAAATGCCTCTCCAATAGCTGCCTGACCTTTTACCTATCTGGAAATGAATGTATTAAATACATTTATGCTAGCACTAACCCTGAGAAAGAAACTGAAGCAAAAGATTCTAAAGTGACAAAGCAAATGAGATACTGCTGCTTAATAAACATTCTTCAGTTTTCATGTGTGTTCTGCCTCTACACCTGTTATCATTAACTGATACTCACAGGCTAAACCTTCTCTTCCAAAGTGCCAAATGCAGTGGGTAGCCAACAGCAGGTGCTAAACAAATTTTCACTTCAGATCAGTTGAGGCTTGATCAGACTATTCTAAGCTACTGAAAGAATTTTCTGAGACCATATGGAGCATCTTCTCGGATTTTTGTCAAATATTTCATAGCAATGTAGGTGGACTAATAATTGTTGTATTACTGAAATTTAATACAAACATAAAATGTGCTAAAATCCAGGTTTCTCAGCTAGCCACTCAAAGCCCTCCACAGTCAAGGCCCAAACCACCTCAAGCCCCATCTTCCACTACTTCAATCCACAATATTCACATTCTAGCCAAACTGTTCTGCTCACCCTTCTCCAAACACAACTTATACTTCCTCCATTTAGAGCCCTTGCTCAAGTTTCTCTTGCCTAAAATGCCATTTTTCCTTATAGCTGTCTCCTGAAGCCCAATCCTTTCTTCAAGGCCCAGTAAAAATCCTACTCTCTCCCAGAGAAACCTCTCCAAAGTCCCTGGTTAGAAATAATTTCTCCTCGGGCGCCTAGGTGGCTCAGTTGGTTAAGCGACTGCCTTCGGCTCAGGTCATGATCCCGGAGTCCTGGGATCGAGTCCCACATCGGGCTCCCAGCTTGGCGGGGAGCCTGCTTCTCCCTCTGACCCTATCCCCTCTCATGCTGTTTCCCTCTCTCTCTCTCTCTCTCTCAAATAAATAAATAAATAAAATATTTAAAAAAAAAAAAAAAGAAAAAAGAAATAATTTCTCCTCCCCTCTACAATGCCTTTCCCACAGAATTTGGATCATACTGGCCTACAGCACTGACAAATGTCTAGCTTATTTTAGAATTACTAATGTGTCTGTGAAATGCTGAGACACTTGCTGGCAGACTCTCATCCCTGACATTCATTTTTGTACTCCCCACAGTTGAGTGCTACAGACATAACAGAAACTCCACAAGTCTGAGATATTCTATTTCTAATTTTAAAATATATATTAATTTTTTTTGCTAAGTGTTTAGTTCTATTTATGGTTCTTTTTAGGCAAACAGTAAAATCTGTTCATATTCAACCAAAAAAATCTCAACAAATTTCTAGTGGAGGCACATTACAATCTTTCAGGAAGCAAGGAAAAAACAGCATAAAATTTAACATCTGCCATAAATGATCTATAAAATGAACCAAATCATAATGATATCCAAAGGCTAAATTATAATCTGAAAAACCTGAAAACCTTCTTTCAAATAAAAAGCATATTCACAGTAAATGAGGATTTCACACAATGAACCCTAAACCTGAAGCAGTCCATTTCTATAGAATAATATATTTTTTCTTCTAATTTTGTTCTCCGGAATTCTGAAAGAAAATGCATGTGTGTGCTTATTATATATATTATATACATTATTTGTATGAATAAATTTTGGAATATGGCCATAATAGCTATGGTCATCTTGACTTACATATTTAAAATAAATTTCAAAACATGTCAACCATACTCCTAAAGTATATTAGAGTTAATTTAGCTGTTAATAGAAAGATCACATATTCAGATGTCCTTGACAGACCCTGCCTTTTGAGAAGAACCCACCCTCTCCTAGATACAGAATAGTTCTCTAATGTCCAAGTTTCATTTCATCTGAACTTTTCCTATGATCAAATTATGGAAACATTCTAACTTTGGTGGCACATGACATTTCTGCTAATTTCACACATTACATTTTTATAGTGGATTACTCAAATACTCTCACAGCTATTACCTAATTTGGTTCTAACAAATACTGTGTAAATTACTGTGTAGCATCCCTTCTTTGCAGATGAGGAAACTAAGATTTAATGTCATATTGCCAGGAGTAGAGCTGAGTTTCTGGTTTTTAAATCTAAAGGGCTATTTTCTTCTCAATGCTAAAAGCATTCCCCAGATAGCCTTGGTAAGTAAGATTTGTTACTTTTAGTCCTGTATCTTTCTGAAAGTCAGATTTTTTGCTTATTTTTATTTTCTTGGTCATGGTGGGGAGAAGGAATGGAGCATTTAAAATAGTAAATAAGGGTAAGATATTCCAAATTTCTTATTTTTGGACAGTATGCTACAAATGAATTTTAATACTAAGGAAAAATTAACTGTTATAATACTGACTTATGTAAAAGAGCATTAAAATAAAATTGGCATCTCTTAATTACAAATTCATTGTTTTAAAAATTTCATGTAAGTTTAAAAATTAACAAAGTGGAGCACAAATTTTTTCAAAACTAACCGCCCCGAATTTGGGGAAAGTTACCACTAGAATATGCAAAGTATTAGCATCCTCTACCACTGCCAGCTTCATTCACTGCCATTTCAAAAAGCACAGCAAAGAAAAAAATTTGTAGTCAGATTATCACAGAGCCACATACCTGTACCACATCAAACTGGACCCCAAAGAGCCACTTTTATAAAATTACTTTGACTATGCTCACACTAAAGGTACTGCTAAAGACCGCTAAGATGTTTTCTCCATGAGAACCCAGAAGACAGACTCTAGAGCACTCTCTAGAGAGCATGTTAGTTGTTTTTCTAACAACTGGTTTATTTTACCTTGGAAACTGTGAATCATTTAAATGGCTGTCTTTCTCTCTTCACCATTAGCTACTTGAAAGCTAAGAACTGAATTCATGACTTATCTTTAGACAATATATAACAAAAATAGTGATTAGTGGCTTGTGATATGTGCCAGGCACTATGCTAAATACTTTGAGTATGGTCTCATTTACTCCTTTTCACAGCTCTGAGCTATTCTAGTTCACAGTGAAGAAACTGAGGCTTAAGAAATTATATCCAACATAATTTCATTTAAATGCAGTTTAAAAACAGGCAAAACTAACATAGGTCAGGATAGTGTGATCCTTGAGGGGCAGTAATGGCAGGATCAAATGGGCCATCAGGGAGGCTTCTCTGGGTCCTAGTAAGGTTCTCGCTCTTGACTGGGTGGCTTGGGATATAAGTGTATTCTGGTACAGATTATTGAACACTTAAAATATGTTCTGGATATATATTATGTTTTAATAAAAGCTTTAAAATGTCCAAAAAAAAAAAAAAAGAAAAAAGAAACTGAGGCTCAGGGCACCTGGCTGGCTCAGTCGCTAGAGCATGCTGACTCTTGATCTCAGGGTCATGCATTCAAGCCCCACACTGGGTGTAGAGCTTACTTTAAAAAAAGAAAAACTGAGGCTCAGCATAGATAATAATAACAACTAACACGTAGTGAGTGCTAAGTATCAGATACTGTTCTATTTTTCAATTATTTTTTAAAGATGTATTCATTTATTTGAGAGAGAGATGGAGGAGCAGAGGGAGAGAGAATCTCAAGCAGACTCCCTGCTGAGCGTGGAGCCCAACCCCTGAGATCAATCACCACCTGAGCTGAAACCAACAGTCAGATGCTTAAAATATAAAATATTTTATATTTTAAATATAAATAAATAAATATAAATAAAATATAAATAAATATAAAAATATAAATAAAAAATAAAATCTTAAAAAAATAAAATTAATTTTAAAAAATAAAACTTATTCAACTTAATTCATTTTAATCAACTTTACTGCCACCCAAGCGCCCCTTATTTTTCAATTATTAACATAGTTAATCCTCACTACGACCCTATGAAGCATTTTATAAATATTTATTTTATGTTGTTGAAACTGAGGGGAGAGGTCAATGACATACAATGAAAAAGTGGCAGAGCATGTACTTGAACAGGAGAGTCTGGCTCTAGAGCCCAAACTTGTAACAGTATGCTACACTATGACCTTGTCCAAAATCAATCAACTGGCAAGTGACAAAGCTGGCAGTTGAAGTCAGAATTTCAACCCAAGTCTTTCAATCCCTCCCTTTGCAAAAAAAGTACTGAGTACCTATAATGTTCCAGACACTAAATACATCTATTATTCATTCTTCAACTTACCCTACAAGTATATATGACTATATGTATATATATATGATAAAAATGTTTGATAACTTGGCTAAAGTCATACAACTAATAATAGTAGTGGAAGCTGAAATCAAATCCATGGAGGACTTCATGCATGTTATTTGAAAAGGAACCTCACTCCTAACTCTATGCTACTTTTCTATTTTTATTTCTACTTTTTTTATGCATGTTTTCAATTTCTTTTATCTTGTCTTATTGTATACATCTTGTAAATCAATTAAAATCTTAGTTGGAACAAAGTCAAGAATAAAAAAAAAATAAAATTTAACATGTTCTGAAGGTTGATAATGGTCTCTCTTTATTAGGTTTTATAAAACCAAAAGAAAACAGGAAGATCATTACTTTAACAAATCACTCCACAAAGAGATATCATAAAGGTTTAGAGCTCAAAGAACCTTAAAGGTAAGAAAGGTCTTATTTTGTAAATATGGAAACTAAAGTACAAAAAAGTTAAGGAATTGTGGATGGCCAGAGAGCACATTAAGAGAAACCTGAGTTTAATCACCATCTTTATATGCTGATATATGAAAATTGGCCTTTATTATTCAATAAAATAGTAAAGAGGTTCTATGAAAAGTACCAAAGAATATTACTACTCTCTCATTTTTTACCTTTTTAAAAAAAATCGAGATTAAATTAAAAATAAAAAGCCAAGGATGACTCTAAGTTATACCTATGTCTGCCATATGTAGTCTAAAACATTAGCTATGGAAAAAATACCAAAATAGTATCAAAGTAATATCCTACTCAATTGGGTTTTTAAGATTTTTTTTTTAAAGATTTATTTATTTGAGAGAGAGAGTGTGTGTGGGATAGTAGCAGAGGGAGAGGGAGAGAGAATCTCAAGCAGACTCCGTACTGAACACAGAGCCTGAAGTGGGGCTCAATTCCATGACACTGAGATCATGACCTGAGCCAAAATCAAGGGTCAGATGCTCAACTGAGTGCACCACCCAGGCGCCCCTTCTACTTGCTTTAATTTCAAATTTATTCAGGTTGCCTGGCTGGCTCAGTCAGTAGAGCGTGCAACTCTTGATCTCAGGGTTCTGAGTCTGAGCCCCACATTGGGTATAGAGATTACTTGAAAAAAAATAAAATCTTAAAAAAAAATAAAATTAATTTTAAAAAATAAAACTTATTCAACTTAATTCATTTTAATCAACTTTACTGAGGTGTAACTTACATACAATAAAATGAACCAGTTCAATGAGTTCTGATATATGTAAACACCATGTTACCACCACCTTAATGAAAATATGGAACATTTCCATCACTATAAAAGTTCACCCATGCCCATCCCCAATCTCTCCCACCTTCTGACCCAGGTACCACCAATCCAATTTTTTTCACTATAAATTAGCTATGCCTGTTCTGGAATTTCATATAAAAAGAATCACAGGAGTGGCACGTGGGTGGTACAGTCAGTTGAGTGCCCGACTCTTGGTTTCAGCTCAGGTTGTAATCTCAGGGTTGTAAGATACAGCCCCACCTCAGGCTCCACGCTCAACGTGGAGTCTGCTTGGGATTCTCTCTCACTCTCTCTCTGCCCCTCCTACTTGTGCGCTCTCTCTCTCAAGTAAATAAATAAATCTTAAAAAAAAAAAAAAATCAGGGGCACCTGGGTGGCTCAGTTGGTTAAGCATCTGCCTTCGGTTCAGGTCATGATCCTGGAGTCCCTGGATCGAGTCCCGCATCAGGCTCCCTGATCAGCCAGGAGTCGGCTTCTCCCTCTCTCTCTGCC